CTAGAATTGACCACGACAGGCCGGGTCGAAGCCCACCTCCTAAATGATCTAAATTGTGTTGATGGGAGCGTAAACACACGTACATATAAATAATAATCTCTCTGTTGTAAGTGTGGCATCTCTATTCCCTGAATTTCTTCTTCTTTTTTTAAATCCAGCTATCTTTCATATCGACAGTCAGCTGAGTGTCAGGTCTTGCAAAAATGTTTGCAAAATTAAAACTAAAGAAAGTCCACGACGTAGCCACGTTCCCGACCAGGAAAATGACTTAAAATGTGTGTCTACGAGTAGTTGGGCACAACATGAGCATCTTGTTTCCCTTTCATTTATCCCAAGAGCTAAATGTAGACTTACGATGGAGTCTGTATCGCACTTTAACTTTAATTTAATAAAGGACAGGAGTTGATGGCCATATATTAAAGGAGGTTTATCGGTCCAAAATTAAGGTGCCCTCTGCTTATGTTCCGGTTAGTTTAAATTTAAAGTACCTCCTTTGATCAAATGCTGGTTCACATAATAGACACGGTTGACGGAGGACCTTAACTTAAACTTTATATTAGGCTGTTTTTTTCTATTTTTTAAAGGAGGGGTTGTTTTGTTTGTTCCTTTGTGTGTGTGTGCGTATGTGTGTTTTGTTAGGGTTTGTTGTTGTTTTTTGTTTGGGGGTTTTTGGGGGGTGAGGGGGGATTTGGCTCTTACATCTTATCTTTTGGGTAGTTGAGAGTAGGCAGCCAGTCATCTTATCAATACCAGAAAAAAATTTTTGTTACCATATTATTATGTCCACCGTCAGAAAGTTGTAAATTGTATGTCAAAGACTCCTTGACACGAATGTAGGCTTAGATGTGGTAGTAAAAGAACAGACCTGCCAAGACCGTCATATTTGGCAAAGGTCAATCTTGATTTAATGTCTACCCAGAACTGAAGAAACTGGCCAATAATAAAGGGCACTTTTGACACTTTTGACAATACATGTAGGCCTATAAATCTAGTTCGGAAAAAAAGAAACACTAATGTGTCGGTAAATAGGTCAAACGAGTGAAATACAGTAGCACAGTCTGCCAAGAAGGCCATAAGGTCAACTACCGTTGAGAACTAGTCAGCATTGGAACACAAAAGATACATGCACGTCATGTACTATTATCTGTATCAGAGGCTTTTTTGTTGCTGTTGTTCAAATCGTATTACGACAAGGACCAGCTTAATTTACTTACAGATAATATTTATTGTAAGCAAGTCAATTACACGAATTCTGTTTTTACATGCACGTTTTCGTAAACTTGAACACTGATAAAAACAAAAGGTGAAAATACACTTGTGGGCAGAGGGGTCGCAACAGTTATATTATTCTTCGTATCACTTAATGAAAACACATAGGCTACATAATAACTCAAATTATGTAATAGTCACATCACTATTACATCTCTGATGGTGAGAAAATTGTTCTAATATATTTGCCATTTTTACAAGCTACATCAACAAATTGGACCTTGCCGTTTTTTGTTTGAGGGTATCTCCGATTTAAGAATTAAGAATACAGTTAACTCCGGGCCTTTGTAAGACACTTAATATAAGAATAGGTTCTTTATGTTCATAACTTTGATGAATGCTTACAGTCATAAAGGTTTTCATGCCATGCCAGCTCAGGGCATGTATTTTCCGTTTTTTTAAAAAGCATGGGATCATGACCACATTATTTTTAAATTGAAATGACGATCAGGTAGGCCTACACGACAGGAAGAAAGAGGCGGCTTTCAAGCTCGTGTGCGTGTGTTTGTGTGCGTGAGAGAGAGACAGAGACAGAGACAGAGAGAGACAGAGAGAGAGAGAGACACACACACACAGAGACACACAGAGAGAGAGAGAGAGAGAGAGAGATTGTGTGTGCGTGTGTGATGAAAATATTGTACTCTGTATGAGAAAGGACACAACAAACACATTGAAAACTATTGAACATCCACTACAGATAATTCATTATCACAAGTAAAACAAACTTCTCTTGAAATACATGCACCTGTTTTTTTTCTCAAATCACTTTCATGCAGTTCGTCCAAATGTTTCAATACTTTTGACTCGGGTTTCTAATAAGCGTTCACTGAAGAATTATAACAGCAAACATGCAAACTGAAATGCCCAATAATAGATAAACTTACAGAGTGAGCAAATTCTAAATAATGCTCTCAGTCTTAGGCAGACAAGTTCTCAATCAACATTGCCAATCACTTTTATACATGTACATGTCTTTATCATTGTATCAGTCCAGTCACATCACTGAACACGTTTTAATGCCTCAGTTTGAGCGCATGCTTTCAGATTCCATAACGTAAACTAACATTAATTTTAATAAAAAGAAAGAAAGAAAGAAAAAGAACGTTTGAGTGTTGGAGAAACTGGCATAATAACGACTGTACAACAACATTGAAGAAATCGGCGTATTACTGTCCCCGTGGTTTTATGCACCCCGCATAATTTAGCGAAATTTGATCATTTTTTTGCATAATTTCTTATTATTTTTCTTTATCTTTCTTTGTTAAAATTAACAGAAGCGCATAATTTCACATTTTTAGGGTCAGTTTGCATAATTTCCGAATTTTTCTTGCATAAAACGACGGGTGCAGATATTATTAATGACTGTACAACAAAGAATCAAAGCAACAACAAATATTTCAAACTAACAACTGTACTGTGATTGTGATCTTCTGTTATATAAAGTTACACAACAACATGGACTGAAGTGCTCGGGGAGGAAGGGCACTCACACACGGTGGGTTTGCAAATAATGTTGACATGTATTCCAAACTCACTTATCAGCTGTAGGCCTACATGATAGGTTATCCCCGACATTGTATTGCTTATCACTACCGTCAATGAAGCACGCGATCATATCACGTGAATGTGTGTCATGTGTGTATTTACACAGTTATGTCTCAACTCCCACACATGTTCATTATCTGCTGAATTTCGGAAACAGTGAAAGCTTTCACTTTCATCAGATCGATTAGAATTAGAATGAGATGCGACCGTCGAATCTTGATGAGTCATTATACAGTTGGACAGGTTGTAATCATAGTCCAAGTTGCAAGGCTTGAGTGATATAGTGTCAGACCGATATGGTGGTAAGAACGACGGCGTAATTTCATGACAAGGGAGGAGGTCATTTGGTGGATCTCTCGAAAAAATCCTTGAAGCTGTAGCGACTGTAATTATGATGAAGACAACCAGTACAACCAATGTATACTTTCTGCATGTCCACATCATCCGCACCCCATCCAGGACACTGGTTCCCACAAGGTACAGAGGTGATAGAACCTCATTCAAAGACTGAAGCAACCTGAGGAAAGAAAATGTATACATGTACAAGAAAACAAGAGTGAGTCGCCTTGTCAAGGAATCTCCTTTAGTTTGTGTGTTTTAGTAAGAGTTTTACGGCACTTGCAACACAATACACGTAAGTACATATAAGTGCCGAAGATTAGAGATCTAGAGAATACTAAACACAAGAAAAAGAAGGAAGAGAGATCAGGACGACAGATGTTTGTTGGAAAGGAGGAGCAAACCACACTAGGTCCCCCCAACTACCCATTTTCTTTTTTTGCATTGACAACACGATCGTGTTCAAATGACAGGTGTTGAGCGCTATTCTTTGACATAACGTAGACCAACCGACTGAGAACACAGTATGTAGGATCTGTACTTTTTTGTTAGCTCCGTCTTTGTTCATCATCACCACCACCACCACCACCACCACCATCATCATCATCATCATCACCATCACCATCACCATCATCATCACCATCACCATCACCATCATCATCATCGTCAGAGCTAAGTACCAGCACCTGGAAGATGTGTATTCTGTGTACTCCTATAAGCGGGAACAAAAATCAATCACATGTCGCTGGGACCAGGTTGAGCTAGCGAGTCTGCGGTCGGACCATCTATTGGAGTTTAAGATGGTATACTATAAGAACTTTGTAAAAATGAAGAGCTCAGCCCATGTTGCCGAAGATGCGGCCATGAAAAGGAGGATGTGAAACATATGTTTGAATTCCAGGAGCAATGGCAATTCGAATGGAGTTATTTGAACGAGTGGAGGTGCCGCTAAGCATATTGACAATGGAGCCGAAAAAGAGAATCGCTCTCCCTCGAAGATTTCTTCGTGAAGTCCGCCAGGCCCATTAAGGAAACAAAACAAAAAAATCATCATCATCACCTGGATGAAAAGCATGACCATGGGTAAATCCAGCAGGTAGGCGGGAACAACAGTGCACATTACAAAGTAATAATATTATACGTAATGTAATAGTAATATAAAGGTGACGAACACAGGAAATCACACGGAGCAACAAACAGAAAAAAGACATTATTTTATACATGTGCAGTGTACATTGTATTCCCTTGTTTACATTTTTTAATATAGATTCTAGATCTATGCCAGAGAAATATAAGACAATACTGAAATTCGTCGCAAGAATAGTGAACATTTCACCTTGGTACATCTTACAGAGAGTTTACACAGTTACACTGGTAATACATACTGAAAGTAAAACTCTCTGATCTGACCCTGGACCATGCGTTTTGGCATTAGATCTAGATCTACATATATATTTTCTATATAGATCTATATAGAAGGAAAATCTTTTTGAGAGGTAGATTATACATAACATTTTAGTCCAAGACCTAAAGTTATACATTACATATAACAATCATATTATTCCGAATAATGGGAGGGTGTACGTACTCCCATGCATCTTGTGTGAGAGAATGGCTGTGTGAAAAAGAGGAGGAGAGAGTCTTTGACAGCGGAAGAACATAATATCCTAGATTAGTAAAAGGGTTAACAGATCGAAGGCTAGGTTTGACGGAGACTGTGTTTTGTTTTGTTGTTTTTGTTGTGTTTTTTTAAAGCGTTTTACGGCGCACGCAACTGCATAAGGTCATAATATGAGCGCACGGGACACACCTAATATTTTCAGTTGGTAGGAAATTTTGAATTTTGCCCGGGTGGTGGCCGAAGCCTACTCTTATCGATTTTGGACCACCAAGGGGTCTTTAACGTGCGCAACTTGCACACGGGCGCTCCGAGATTTTTCGCCCTTGTCCGAGAAGGCTAGGTGTAGATCTTTCCTACCAGAAGATCAGGGGATGTGACTGAAAGACAGTAGTAAGAAGAAGCGAAGGAGTAGCAGTAGAAAGGCTGCAGAAAGAATCAGGAGCCCAGAGGAAGGGGCAAAGGAGGTGAGGGGGTGGGGGCAGAAAGAGGAGACGAAAGCAGACGACAGAACATTGCTAGAGAGCAGGAAATGAGGTGAAAGGAGACACATTTAGGGAAGAAAATTTTTCGGTCGCTACCCGGATTCGAACCCGGGACCTTTTGAATGAGAGGCCAACACCTTAACCTCTAGGCCACGAGAGCCCACTGTGTATGCAGATTCAGCTTTGGTTGGTGAAGTGAGTAGACTACACTCCATGACTAGATCTAGATTCTAGATATATTCTAGATGTACGGTAGATCTAGATTCTAGATCTAGAATCTAGATCTACATCTACATCTAGCTCATCTAGATAATAATATCTAGATCTAGATCTACACATCTAGATCTAGACTCTAATCTAGATCTAATCTACCCTCCTATTCCTCCTCGGCCTATCTATAGCCTAAAAAATAACATAGAGAATCTATGATTAACTCTGTAACTGTTCGACAACTGAATCAACTGTGTGATGAACAAGACACGAATGCATCTAACATTTTGACATGAAAATTACAACTGTGGTTGATCAACAAAGGAAGCAAAGTTTTCCAGTTTTGTAGATGATTTCCATACAGCCCAGGCCTACAGACATTTGATTTCGTCGTCTGCTATGAAACGAGATTGTGGGAGTTGTAGAACGTCTTTGTTGTTATATGTCAACTTCCTATTGCATGGCCAGATTTTTTAAACTGGGCTTTTTTCTTACCCGCCTTGTGAGAGCATTTTCCTAGGAAACCATCCTTTTGGAATAATTATGTTTCTTTCCTAAAAAGAAAAGAGCTCAAAACTATCCCACCCCTTTAAATGAGATTAATTATATTTTGAAACAAACATGTTATCCTACTTTAGCGCTTATACAACTAAACTAGTCTTTCATGGCATTTTGGCAAATTACACAAATGTTCAATCGCGGGGTAAAACATGAATGGTTAGGCCTAGGCCTAGGCCTAAAAGTGTTTTTTTTAAATACTAGATCTAACTACTCCCATATCTCAGTATAAACATAATAATTTGACTACATCACAGAGATGTCAATGAGCTAAAATCATTTATTTATACTACTTTCTTCTCTGATAGCAATTGATAAATAACTTTTTGAGATTACCGGGGTAAAAACCCTGAAAATTGAATGTTGAAGAAATCATCTAAATTGGTTAAATCTATAATTGATCAGGTAAACTATTATTGCTAAAAAATTAATTAACCTTTTCTGAGGTTTTTTTTTTTTGTTAGTTTGTTTATGGTTATCATGTTGTTTGTTTTGTTTTTCTTCAAAGTGTCATTTCATACACCTCATTAAGATTCAGAGAGACATAGATCTAAAGTTTCATTTTCATTCATGTGGATTGGGGGGGGGGGGAGGGGGGGGGGGGGCTTTATTAAGTTCAATCAGGCCATGTTAAATAGGTTGTTTTTTTTCTTCCCATCCACACCCCACTCTCCCAAAACCCTTTCCCATTAATTTTACAAGAAGAGATCCTACACCTCCCCCCTTTTTCCCTTTCCCCCCCTCCTTTACTCTCACACAAAGAAAAGAAAAGAAAAGGGAACAACAGCAGCCAACTAAAAAAAAGCCTCGGATACATTTTAAGAATCAATGGAGAACGAAAATAGATTCTAAAAACTCCTTTCATTTTCATGTCTTACAAAATAATATTTCCGACGCAATGAGCGGCAATGGTTCAGCAGTACTGTTGGTAGGCCTGTTTACAAAATATATCTGTAAACTTTGGTCCAAACTGACTGCAAACATTATTATGAGAAAGCCCAATGAGCTTCTATCACAGAATTCTACACTAAGTGTAGAATTCTGTGGCTTCTATTTTCCTGGTCACATGACAGCGTAGTCATGTGATACTTTTGATGATATACATTGTAACAAGATGGCTGGCGCCGGGGTTTTCTCTGTGCTGCTGAGCAGTATTTTAGTGCTTGCTTGCGCTGATTTCCCATATCAAGTCGGTTACTTCAATCAGTATGTCGATCATTTCAACCAGATGTCGTATGGGGAATCAACCTACAAACAGAAATACTTATTTCAAGGTATGTGGATTCGTCTTTTTTGTTCTAACGATCGTTGTCGTTGTCACATGCGAACTGACTCTGAGCTGAGACTGAGGCTGAGGATTGAGATGTTACAAAACTTCCCGTCACCAATTCAATAATATAATTTTATAAATTAGCTGTTGAGTCGATTGTTCTCATGCTCATTTTGAAAGTTTCGTCTGATTGCAATCGGCTTGCAGCTTCCCCAACCCTTTTCACAGTCCGCTTCCTAACTCCTCCCCACCACCAATGCCCAAAGTCCAAAGCCAAAATGAAATTTTGGACTTCGTGGAGAAAAGCTAAAAGTATACTAAGTAAGCTGGTGCATCTAAACCTACTCTCATCTCCCTAGCCTACCCTACTACTAGATCTACAACCTACAGCATGACAATCATGTTTTTTTTTAATAGGGAGTGTATATACAGACCCGGTAACCGGGAATAAAGTCACAAAAGTATACAGACCCGGTAGGGGAACTCTTTTGTGATTTCGGAAAGTTTCAGCACCCTCTTGGCTCAGGGTAGAACTAGGTTCTTCTAGATCTGTGGCCTAGGTCTAGATCTAGACAGACAGATATAAATCATTGATCTAGTTTCGAGGCTAGC